AGTTGATCGAAGATAGCCCAGTAGGATTTTATTTCAGGATCTTCACCCATGATGTCATCCTTGGTCGGCCGAGTCTTTTGTTGTCCCCATCGGAACACTTTATTTAGGCAGGCATCTTCCTTTTGAGCAGCTTGTATGTTTTCAGATACGACCCCGACGGCAAAGACGTTTTGCCCATCATTTTTCTCCGCTCGTGCACAGTTTCTGCAGTCACCACAGGGTCTGCGCGATAGTGCGTCTGCGTTGTTATGCTTGGCGCCAGCTCGATGATGTATGGTGAAGTTGTATTCTTGAAGCCTTTCCAGCCAGCGCGCCACTTGTCCCTCAGGCGAACGGAAGTTATACAGCCAACGAAGAGAAGCGTGATCCGTTCGAAGAGTGAACTCTCGTCCAAGAAGGTAGTGCCTGAAATGAGAGACTGACACGACGACAGCTAAAAGTTCCTTACGGGTAACACAATAATTTCGTTCGGCCTTGTCTAAGCTTCGACTATAGTACTCGATTACTTTCTCTTCGCCGTTTTGAACCTGGCTGAGAACAGCTCCAATACCTGAGTTGGAAGCATCAGTGTCCAAAATAAATGGGAGATCCGCATCTGGAAACGCCAAGATGGGAGCCGATGTCAGATTGTGTTTCAGGACATCAAATGCCTGCTGCGCGTCGTCCGACCAATTGAAATGCGTTCTAACCTCCGTGAGTTGTGTGAGTGGCCGGGCAATGGTGGAGAATCCTTTTACAAATTTCCTGTAATATGAGCATAAACCGAGAAATGACTTCACTTCGGTTTTGTTGGTAGGTACAGGCCAGCTTGCAACTTTATGTGTTTTGTCAGGATCTACCTCAAGCCCGGTTCGACTGACTATATGGCCAAGATATCGGACTCTTTTCTGGAAGAAGTGGCATTTTTTTGGACTTAACTTCAAACCTGCGTTGCGCAAACGGCCGAAAACTTCACGCAGGGCGGTAACATGATCATCCGCTGAGCGCGAATGCACAATAATGTCGTCGAGGTATACTAAAGCCGTGTCCCAGGGCAGTCCAGCGAATACTCCGTCCATCAATCGCTCGAATGTCGCTGGAGCGTTGCAGAGCCCAAAAGGCATCACATTGAACTGCCATAGCCCCGCTCCGCAGGTGAAAGCAGTTTTAGACTTCGAATCGGGATGCATTTCAACCTGCCAGTAACCGCTTTGCAGATCCATGGTCGAGAACCACTGAGAACCACTCAACGTTGCCAAGATGTCGTCCATACGGGGCAATGGGTACGAATCTTTTTGGGTTACGTCATTTAGCCGCCTGTAGTCTACACAAAATCGCAATGAGCCATCCTTTTTCCTCACCAGGACGACTGGTGATGACCAAGGGCTGGCTGACTTTTCAATCACGCCTCTGGACGCCATTTGAGCTACCAAATCAGCTACAACTCCACGCTTTGCTAGAGGTTCGCGTCGTGGTGCTTGTCGAATGGGAACTGCTTCGCCCGTATTTATTTCATGCTGGACCAAACTGGTTCGGCCGAAGTCGCTGGAATGACTCGAAAAAATTTCGTTAAATTCAGATAACAACTTACGAAACGAATGTTGGGCGTTGTGGGGCACGTCCTCTGGCAAAACACATACATCTGATTCTAGAGTAAGACCATCGACAACCTTGTCGTTCGCAGCCACCATCTCTACTTCGTACGCTTTAGCAATCACTGTTTCGGCTGGAAGCTTAACCGTTGAAGAATTCGTGTTTTTAGTCTCACTGGCCAACCTAGTTGACTCGAGCTTGCTAACGTGCGACCAATAAACACGCCAGGAGGTAGTTTACTTTCGTCTGTTCGTGTAATTAACAGATTCTCAGAATGGTTAGCTACACGGCCGGGTACATTAACAAAACAGTCGGAGCGAGCTGGCAGGCACACTTCTGTCTTCAAAACCACGTTTTCTTCCTCAGTTGACGACGGTTTGACTAGAGGTACTGAGTGACGTTTGAGTTCCAGCCGAAAGTCGCGAAGATTAACTGTTGCTTGCTGCTCCGACAAGAAGTCTAGACCCAATATCGCGGGCGTATGTGCATCAACTACTAAAAAAGTGTGGCAAAAGCTGATGTTTCCCAGCACAAATTCCAATTCGACTTTGCCTTTAGAAAAAAACTCTACATCACCTGCTGCACGAAGTCGGCAACACATTGGGTGAACTTCGCTCTCCTGAGGGACGATGTGCGATGGTAAAAGGGAGACAGCTGCCCCAGTGTCGACAATAAAAGAAGTTTGCAAACTATTTATCGAGGCGTGAACAGCGAGACCATCATTAATTATTTATATGCAATGTGTCTATGCAGGTTTTTTTTTTGCATTAGTGTAGTCGAGCCGTTCTTCTGTGTATCAGCTGACGGAGGTATTTTTTTTTATTGATAATTTTAGGTGGAGTTCGCTTCGTCGACTTTCGCTCCTCATAGTCGACGAGTTTGCGTTTCCCGGCCGATCGCTGAATTTTCGTAAATAATTGCGAGGACCTTGATTGACAGCGAATATTGGTCGAGTTCTGTTGGATTCCGTTCGGGATGAAAGCTCTTGCGCTGCCACCAGAGCAGCTTTAATAGTCTGTGGTTGCCCAGCAACCACTAAGCGCATTACATCTGGATCACGAAGTCCATCTATGAATTGGATTTTGAGGGCTTCAGTGACAAAAGATGGTGGGGAGTTTGGAAAAGCAGCTGCAGCTAGTAGTTCCAAAGCAGTTGCAAACTCCGTTAAGCCTTCTTTAGGACCCTGAATACGCCGCTTAAATTCTTGGTAGCTAACCTGTGCCGGCACCGTGAATTTGTCCGTAAAAAGTTTATTAAGCTGCTCCCACGATGGAGGCGGAGTTATCGGTAGTGTACTTATTAGCCTAAACGCTTCACCTCGTAAATTCGCTATAACCGCCATAACCTTTTCAGCTGAACTCCAACCATAAAAATTCGCTGTATGCTCAACTAAACATGAGTAGTCGACCCACGACGTTTTTCCATCGTAAGGGGTTATGTCATATTGACAAAAAGCACGACGAGACGGATGGGAATCATTAATTGCTTGCGTTGAAATATTAAGTTCATTGAGCATGTGCTGTTGTTGTTCAATCGGAGCACAGCCGCGCGTTCGACCTGAGTTTTCCCGGTCTGAAGGTATGCGGGTAGAGCACATACCGGAGTCCGAAACCATGGCAGTTGCTATGGGAGAGTNTTCCTTCCGTACCAGATCGTTAGCAATGCTGTTTCCAGTAATATTTCTGTTCCCAGGAAGCCATACTACATTATTGATGCTTAGCGTAGCCAAATCTATTAGCGCCATTCTTGCTTGGATTGCTATCTTCGGTGGGGTATTGTTGCACTGTACACAGATATTAAATTTAAGCCTGGTTTTCATAGTAGACGTTGATGGAGGAGTATTCTATCTATTATAGAAGAGCAGCCTTTTTTATATGTATCTCTAATTCAGCTACATCGACTAACACTCATCGAAGAACTGCAGAACTGTAACCTCTGATAGAGTCCTCAAAAACTTTCCGGATTCGTAAGCAGAATTTTCCTTCCCGAAGGTGTCACTCAGAGTAACCACCTTAGACTCGATGGCCCTTTCGATCTTATACAAAGACATTGATATGTGAATATCCTTAATGCACCCTTAGGTTCTGGTCCAACAACTTCCAAAACAATTTGGACCTTCGCAGTCATTTTAAAATATTCCTGATATCCACACATCTAAAGTCCTCCATGATATCGAAGACTGGTCTAGCCAGTGCGAAGAGTTTTCGTCTGGATAGAGCAGGGTACTGGCACAACAGGTGCAGAATCGTTTCTTCCTCTTCTTCATCTTGGCAACTTCTACAGAAGTCATGTAATCGTATCTCCTTTAGGCGAAACGACCCAGCCAGAGATGTGCAGCATTTCAAGAGTACCATCGAGTTTGCCGATTACTTCGTGAGGGATTTGATATCATATAACACTTTAGCAGTTTTGTTGCACTGTCCGTTGCTATCAGTTCCGGACGAAAGCTAGGTGCTCGGGGTGTTTCGTGAGTTTTATGTATTTTGTAGGAATCCTTACATTGACTTTTATTAATGCTCAAAAAATAAAAAGCATTAAAGGAAATTTTGCGCATATAAATATTTAGGAGTACCGTTAGTCTCCTCATTTCAGATTTAAACCAAATCAATATAGGACCATCCTTAAGGTGCCACCTTTTCGATGTGGTTCACGTGGTTCAAAGTGACCCGGTAACATACACAAAAAAGAAAAATATTCCGACGAATATGAAGTCGGTTAAAAATTACAGTAGTAAATTAACCAGGATTATATATGTATGTATAATAGTGACAGTTCATGCTCTAAAAAGATATTACGCAAGCTATATATATAATTACCCTCAATATGGTTGCACCAGTTCTGCTGCCATTTCAAGCCTTATGCAACAACTTGGCACACACATATTCGAGCCAAATCGCAAACAAAACTCAACGGTAGAATAACATTTAAGCCATAATATACATTCGGATTGACCAAAAGTATACGGTAAGTAAAAAGAAGACACACTTTGTGTTACTACATAAGAACCAAAAAAAGCAAAAAAAAATAATAAAAAAATATGAAGAAAAAACTGGTTCACAGCATGTTACTCTATATATTATTTGAGCTTTCGTTCCACGCATATACACACGTACGTACGTACATATAAAAGTATATACGACTCTGACTCGTGCAACACTGTAGGCATTGTTGCCACAGTGGCGTGTCAACAATTGGCTTACTTCCTTTGTTGGCACACGACCGCAGCGATGAGCACAACCGCAGCTACGAGTGCCCGTATTTGACTGGTTTTGCGGTTTCATTCTTGCATTTACTCTGTATCCACATACATTCATATGCACCTATATATGTATCTATATACATATGTATGAATATAGGCATATTCGCAAAAAACCAGGTTGCAGTCATCCATGGTCTTTTGTTTGCAACACATTTGTGTAGTTGCTTAACTAACGTTTGTTGTTGGTCCAAGTTGGTTTACCATTATTGCTCTGAATTTCTATATTCTGTTGCTTGAAAAAGTGTTTGACACTTGCGCTACATTTCTATTTGTATTAACCAGAGCAGGAGTACCTATATTGTAAACTGATGAAGTTGTCAATTAGCTGAATGCAGGCGAATGGGAAATTTTTGGCGGCTGTGAACAAAGAAACGTTCTACGGGTAGTGAGTAAAAGTTGCTTAAATATTGGGAAAGGTCTGAGGTTAAGTCAAAGCCAGTTCTACTACACTTGAACGGCTTAAAACTTCCGACATTGGCCAAGAATTTTTAATCCCGCTTTTAAATAAGAACTTCGAATTTGGTTTGCCGTTAAGCAGCAACAAAAAGATGGAAACTGGGGTAGGTTTTTCAAATAGGGAAATAAAGAGCTTCATTTTGGTTGTCACCCCTTGGCTTTGTGCCATCTTCAGTGTCATTTGTCCCGCTAATACTTACGGGGCATTTCTGACAACTGTCTTTCAACCAACGCACACAGTCAGATCCGCCAATTGTCTTGAAAGCACTTTTCTGTCTTTCGAAACATTAATTGAACGATAGTTTAACGAAGAGGTCTTAGCGTTATTCTGTTGTAAAGCAAAAAGTTTTCTGGAACTGTAATCAAATACATTTTTTTTTCTTGTTAAACCAATAAAACCCATGATTCAATAATTAATTAATTAATTCATTATTGAATCATGAATAAAACCTACTAAATGACAAATTTTTTTTCAAAAAAGAAAAAATGAATAAAACAAGTAAAAAGTATAATTTCTGGCGGTGCCGAACATTAAATATCCGGCGCAAGTATTAAATATAGTTTTTTCACCTTTCCGAAAACTAACGCTACATGGTAAGCCGGGGGTGGTTTTACCCCTATATCAAACATCTTCGGTAGAACGTTCAGTAAGACATATTGAGATAAATGTATATAGTTATATGTGGGCGGTATCACGCTCATTTTCTAAAGTTCCATAATAATGTTACTTCTTTTTAAGGGATTGTTGTAAATATAAATTTTGAGTAAATTAGTGTCCTTGAATTTCTAAATATTGAAGTTGGAAGCCATTCTGAAATTTATCGTTATATGAAAAGTGGGCGTAATTTTAGTCCGATTTCAATAATTTTCAACGTTTTGCTTTTTAGTGGCAAGCACAATAATCACACCGAGTTTGCATTGCAAGCATCAATTTTGTATAAATTCGCTTCAGTATTTACTGATTTATCGAAGCATTCGTATTTCTCTAAATTACCGTTATATGGGATGTGGGTGTGGTTATTGTCCGATTTTAAAAATTTTCTGCCGTTTGGTATGCTGTACCAAGGCTAACAACTATGCTAAGTTTGGAAAAAATTGGTGAAGCAGTTACCAAGATACAAACATGTAATCATAAGTGGGCGTGGCTACGTCCATTTTCCAAAATGTTAAAATATCCTTATTTTTCGTCGTAAATATCGATTTTGAGTGAATAAGCTTCAGTAGTTACTAAAATATCGCAGTTTTCTTATTTCTGAAAACTGCCGTTATAAGCGAGGTAGGTGTGGTTATTGTCCGACTTTACCCATTTTCAATACCATCTGTCCTAAGCTGAAAAGAAGTACACACGCCGAGTTTCGTTAAGATATCGTGTGCACAGACGGACCGACGGATTTCTTTTTTCATTCTGATCATTTATGTATACATTTGTCTATATCTATCGATTCGTTTTGGCTCTTACATACAATCGTTATGTGAAGTAAGTTATAATACCCTTGTGCACAAGTTACAAAAAAATTTGTAAAAATTAAATGAAAAAAAATATATATAGTTTTCTTTTTAAAACGATAAAATCTGAAAATTAAACAAAATTAAAGAAAAAAATTCTTCACAATCAAATGCAATTAAAATAAAATATTTTTTTTTTAATTGAAACAGTAAAATTTAATAATTAAAGGAAAATTAAATTTACAAAAGTATAAAAGCAACAAAAGGAAACAAATAAAAAAATTAAACAAGTTTTTAAAAATTAAATTAAATAAAAAAGTACTTTTCTTTTTAAAACAATAAAATCTAAAGTGTAAAAGAACTTTAAACTAGAAGGGGGAAATGTTAAATTAAAAAAAATACATAAATTAAGTTTCTACCCTAGGATTTTAACCTTGGATCTCTCGAATGGTAATCTAGTGCGTTGATCACTCGGCAATGGATACTCGTATACATCTCCAGTTAGAACATGCTCACGGGCTTTCTATCAAAAGAGATTTTCACCATGAAAATTGGTAAGTGAGCTTTTATTTGTAAGACCATCATGCCAGAATAAACAGAATCTTTCAAATCATGTTCCCTTCTATCTTTCAATTGCCCTACAAAAGACGTGCGAGCCAGAATTGGCCGGTAAGGCTCCATATACTTAATAGGAAGGAAGGCGAATCAATTCCCCGCTGTGGGGTGCCCCTGCTGGCTGCTCTCCACTCTGTAGGCGAGCAGTTCATGGTTGAGTCAAACCAGAAACTTGTCAATCCGTATAGCCGCCATGGTGGCAGTAACCGCGAACGACAGTGCGTTGCTGAAAGCCTCCGCTATGCCGAAGAATGCTATTACTTAGTTGGTATTCCTTATCTGCAAAATATTGAGAATTTTTAATTTTGTCTGACAAACTCGGGCAAGGCCGACACACACAAAACATCTTAAGAATTCCGCCTGGAAAAACTCGTCCAACAAGTAGTTCAACTCATGGAGATTGTATATTAGACCGTATCACCCTTCAAGCGAAGAAAAAAAAAGTTCGCAGTACAGCCCTGAGTCTAAAGTATGTATATTCCCAAGGCAATTTCGAAAAAAAATTTGCTGACCCTAGGGTCGCTTTTTTAGATTTTTTGGTGACACCTATATTCGGCATATATAAATAGTCCTACTAGAATAATCACAAAACTTCCATAGCAAAAGTTTAATGATTTTTTGTGAGCTTTAATTTACTGGCATTATGGTGGTCCTATTGGATGATAAGAACGGTGATTCGGTGGGTAAGTGCTAGAACGGGGTACTTGAAGTAAATGAATTTTTGAACAAAAAATTGTCTCTTCGAGGTAACAACATCGATATATCATACCTTATTTAAGACCAGACAGTATTTCGGCAAAGATATGAATAAAAATGTAAGAAGGCGTAGACCTAAAAAAAATGTCTTTTTCGAAATTGCCTTGCAAAAATACTTTGGGCTCAGGGGGTGTGTGGTGATATTATTTTCTGGTATGGTCTGGTACATGCTTGCTTAAATTCCGTAAATTTTTCTTTGTATATAAATCGATTTCAGTTTTAAATTGTTTTGTTTAATCCTTTTTCAAAGAGCCCAGTAACTTAACTCACAACACGTTGAAACTAAAACATTTAAACACCTTATAAATGTATGCTATATTTTGTTTATCTAATGAAATAAACATTGACAGCTGTCAATCCGAAATCAACTCTGAAATAAGGTACATTTCATCACTGCTAAAATTGCATGTTCGACATAAAAAGCTACACTGCATACACATAATTACATTACACCATACGCGTACAATGAATGAAAATTGCATGAAACACAAAAAATAAAAAATTATGAATTAATAAGCATATACTTGTAAAAGCAATCCGCCTCAAACGCTAAATATAATTGTAAATTAAAAACAACAATACAAAATACCGCCAATAATCGCTAATTAGTGTCAATTGAAAAATTTCACAAGCAACAATTGTGCGGGTAACCTGCTGGGAATTGAGCGAACGCAGTACAAATGTTCAAAACATTGGAAACACAAAAATTACAACCTGGGGAACAAAGTGTTATTAGTAAAAACATGATTCGACAGTTGCACTAACAAATGCACAAAGAATTACAACAACCACCTTTATTTAGTGGTAACAGGCGTACTTATGTGCATACATAAATAAATGAGCACACCCGAGTGTTAATACAGTTAACTTTAATTGGGTATTAAGAAAAATCGCACTAATTACCAGCAACCAACAAATGTTCGATTTCGATTGCTTGATTGACTGATTTTTTATTTATTTTTTTAACGCGCTGTAATTTCAAATTACGCCGAACTGCCGATTGATTGACTTCGAAAGCGATTTACTGACGCGCGCACCTTAATTTACTGATAATGATTTGAGGATGTCGGATGCTTTGATTGATGCTGTCTGTCGACGGGTTAACACAGCTGCAGCTGGGAGAGTGTGTTTGTGCTATTTGTTTTTTTTTTTTAGTTGTTGAGGTATCGTAAGCTTGTACAATATCAGTGTGCAATACTATAATTTGAAAAATCGTTTGGGCTTGTATATCACGGATAAAATTTATCTCTTTCACTGAGATGATCGATCTGCTAAGGGGCTTAGGCGTTCAACAAAATGCGTCAAGGCTGGCATAGAAGAATAATTTTATAAGCCTTTAGATCAAGATGAGTCCCAGAAAAAACCCAAAGAAAATCTTATTGTACTAGAAAACCTCAAACTGTCTACCAGCTGTTTCCTTACTTGGTCAAATATCTTAGTATTAATCTTCGTATTTGGTGCAAGAGCCATTTACCGGTTTGGGCAAAACCTGCAGGCTTGTTTTCACTATGTCAAATTCAATGACATTTTTCGTCAAATATGTAAGTGAAATCACATTTTGAAATGGGATTAAAAAACGGTATACCGATTGACTTAGACCAGCACAGGTCTGCGGGTATCTGCGGTTGCCCAAAACAGCCCAGAAAGCGTTCCTCACGCTAGAAAAATTGGTAATAGAGACAGTGATCGGACTTTTACCACTTTGTGGTAGATATGCCACTTTTTTGAGCATGTACTACATCTACCGCACAAGGTCTGAAATCTACCACATATTCATGTTTTTGAGTAGTTTTATTTTTGCTCGACTTGATAGAAGTTTTTTCCTCCTAAGCGAATTCTCCTCAGAAAGCTAAACGTCAAACTCCATATGATTGGGGTGCGTTCGGAAAGGCAGTTCAGGGTCGCATTCACGAACACCAACCGGTTTGAAATTAGTGTGATCGCAACACACTTTTAGCACGGGTTGACACCATTTTTGACACTTGTGAGAGA